CCCTCAGATTTGAACATTGCTACAATGTTCCTTTTCAGATGTACCACGCAAGCTGCATGTGAAGCCATTGGGTAAACCTGTACCATCATTACGGAGGCGTTATTTTGTTAATAAAGTATATCCTAGCCATCTCAACAAATGTAATATGTAATTAAATATTTATCTTGCTTATTCGTATATTATCTTGATATTGTTTAAGTTATTGCTAAAAATCAACATACTAGTCTTCTGTTTGAGGATTTCGTCATACCTTACGGATGCTTGTATAAATTGATGAGTGTCTGTCTGACACAAACACTAGATCTGGATCATCAGGTATCGCATCCGTTAGCCTCTCCATGAACCATGTCCATGCATCATCGTTTTCGCTGTTCACTATCCCAAAAGCAATTGGGAAAACTTGGAAATTTGCATCCTGAGCACTTGCAGCGATTAAGCATCCTCCATACCGTCCCCTGAGGTGAGTGCCATCAATCACTATCACTTTCCTCATATATTCATATCCTTGGATGGAAGCGTGGAGTGCGAAGAACAAATACTTAAAGCGTTCAACACCGGAGCTATCTTTCTCTGTCTCCAAGGCCACTAATGAATTAGGGTTTGTCTCCAACAGAAGTTTGAAGTACGGTTGGATTAAAGCATAGCTCCCCATTGCCGAACCCATCGCATTGTCCATTGCTATTTCTCTGGCCCTCCACGCTTTCCAGTAAGACACATTAAGGCTAAATTCTTGTCGTAGCATTTTCCTCAACTCGTTAGGTCGTGGTCCTCCCCCAACTCCAAGATACTTGGTCCGCATTAATTTCCCGATTACCGCAGTTGATGCTTGCTTATGGAAGTCTCCTCGCGCGTCAACACTACAAGTATGATGGAGAGTCGCGCTTTTAACTTCGAAACGCTCGCTACCCTCTAGCTTTGTTGCGTAAACCCGCCACGGGCACGTGTGGCTGACGCAAACCGCTAACAGTATGTTAGGGCATGATTTGGCGTAAATGAAATGAAATTTTCGCCTTATTGCATGAATAGCAAGCTTTGTTGCACAGTCTTCCTTACTTTTGAACAACCTGCCAATGAATATGTCATCCCCTTCGTAGTCTGCATCTAGCAGGGCCCGATGCAAATAATCTGTCAATGGAAATAGTAATCGATAAGTTAAGTAATGACTTGATAATACAGTTAGCCCATTATTTTCGTTAGCAACTATTGTCGTTATCGAATCCACTGTTATAATTGTAATAGGTTTCTGTAAGTAGGATATGTTATCTGCTACTTTTTTAAGTAAAGGCAACTAAATACACTTAACCTACCTTCTTCTCCTGGGTCGTCAAAGTACGGTGGTGCGTCTCTATCATACAGGACTGTTGGAACCGGAGTTTCCTTCAAAACCATCTCCCCCATTTTTGTTCCTACCGTCGCCGTTGATGCCTCTCCTAAATCTTGAATTGTTCCGGCGCCGGGGACTGATACTGCCTTTCTCTTATTCATGTTTGTTGTATCAGTCGGTCCCATACATAGCGGCCCATCTGGGTCTGAGTAATAGTGAGCTAGCATGTCTTCCCCTACATTCAGTAATAACACTCCAAGTTAGTTAGCATGTAACACTACACTTACGATAAGTTCACAGTTATCCAGTAACTTACCTATCTGCGACAGGCAGTTGTTGCTCGATATATCTGTTTCATCCATCAGCTCGTCACTCTCGTAGCTTAAGCTTTCAGATAGCTCTGTTGGCGTTCCATATGTTGAGTCCGTTGATGATACAGATACTATCATTGGCCCACCCGTATTTGGCTCCGCACTTGCAAGTGTTAGTTGGACTTCGCTGTTTGGATTTGCACCATCTTTATGTTGATCTCCGAAATCAAGTGCTCTTGCTGTTCTCTTGTCAGGTGTTTTTTCCTCCACTGCTCTGTCTGGAACCCCCAGTGTCATCTCTGTTGCATAAATTTCTCTCAACATCTCAGCTTGTTTAGATTTTCGCCACATCTCAAATTCCAAATCTCTCCTTGTCTCCTCGTCAATGGCTGGCTCTTTCCCTTTCGCGCTTACTCCATTATCTGGCTGTGTCATGTTTATTGGATTAACACTTCCTGTCCCGGTCATGCCCTGGTTGTCATTGATTACTACCCCTCCGGCCTGTTGTCTTCTCAACGCGCCAGCCATTCCTTCTGGTATGGTAACTTGTGGGCTACTACTGCCGGCCGCGTTATCTGATAGATTACGGAGTAACATCTTCGTTACCGCAGTGTCCCAGACAGCCCTCGTCTCTGCACTGTTCCAATATCTGTCTGATATCGCCTCTGCGCTCATGCTTCCGATGTCGATGTGGCTCCTGTATGAGTTCACTGTACGCTCTATCATCGACCCTCTCACGATTTTAACCTTCAGATGCATCTCCTCAAGATCTGCTCGGATGGCCATAAACAACGTCATATCTTCGTCGTCGAGAATGTGTATGGGGTTCGCTCGCTGCCAATCTGGTCCCATCATCCATTGCGGCCATTGATAAGATAGCTCGATATCATCCTCCGGGCGGAGATTAAGTTTGTTTTTCACTACTTCGACAACTCTTGCGTAACTGTCTTTTTCTCGCAAACGGACGGCTAGACAGAAACCTTCTATCTCGGATACATGTTCGTAGCACCCGGTTTCGTCCTTTTTCCACTCTCCTCGCACAAGCCGGACGACCAGCGACATCTTTATCCTGTATAAACAGCATGGTAAAAGTTTTGTTAACGACTGCCCTTTTTTCAAAAATAACAAGTAGCTATATATATAGGTACAAAACCAAAGAGAAGTCTCCATAACTACACACCTGAGACTTAAATGCTCTGTCTTTCTTTCTCTTTTAGTTTTTAGCGGTTCCAGTGTTTAATATGTTAGTTGTTTGAGTTCTTCTTGTTGCAGCAATGTCGATATGGAGATAATAAATAGCCAAACATGTAGCTTCCATATCTGCCAAATCGATTGCGTATCACATCTACTCATTACTTCTTAACTTCTTTTTTAGTTTCCTAGTGTGCGGCGTAATATCTTGGTAGATTTCCCAAGCATTTAATGCTCGGTATCTCGCGGCAGAAGGCTATCGATTCTGTGCGTTTATAGGGGTAAGTTCGTCATATTTAATTTGCAAGAAAATGTCAACTTAAATAACGAAATCAAATGTACAGATCCTTTATTATTTGCCACTGCAGGTATAGATATTTTATTAACCCTTATTATTATTATGAATAAAGAAAGTAGAAAGCGAAAAGACTTGAAAAAATAGTATAAGAGTGTGGGGATGAAAGTCACAATCCACTTACTCACAACCTGCAACAATTATTACCCTTTTTGGATTAAAAAGATAAACTTTTTCACATGTAAAAACAATACTTTTCTTTTAAAATGTTGGAATGAATTTTTTTTGTGAGATTGTGACTTTGGTCACCACCTATCGTTTGTGCTCTTTTACAATTCACGTGACCGTTGTTATTGTGGCCAATGAGACACGAGAGAAAGGATAAAATATTTTATTTGTTCTAAGATATGGCGCTATGATTTAAACACTTTGATCATCTTTAATTAGTAGTTTTTTCCCGTCTTTGTGCTCAAACTTATTGCTGATCAAACCAGAAACAATCAAAACCAAAAAATAAAACCGTTGAGAAACAGGACTTAGCTCAGAAGTCAGAATAGCATGATATCGTGTGTTGTGGTTCTGAGTGATGCTGGTTTTGAGAATACTTTTTTTTTTTTACCAGACAATTGTCATTCACATGTTAAGTGCATTCTCTATACAACAAATTTGTAAACAAAGCTAGTATTCATACTTGTTCGTGGTTGTGGAATTTAAGTTTAGATCGAAATAACAAAGTATACTAATTTTGTGTGTTTACAATTGTACAATCATATTTGTAACTCAAAATTTGCTTAAGATCCTATAGTAATTTGAATCTTATAGGTTTAGTAATCTTGGATCACGGAGGACAATTATAAGTTGAAATCCAAACTTTGGAATTAGTGAAGTTACTAGCAAACTGTGTAAGTATCGAGAAAAAGAAAATCGAAAAACAGTTCAAGGTTGCGAAGGGCAAACGTACGAGGAATGGAACATAATCTGTTGGGGACTTCAAAATAGATCCATAACTCATTTAGTCGATCTAATTATTTTAATTCATCATTTTTTTGACTAATAATATATAAAACAACTTCAAATATAATATAAAACTAAATATAATAGTGTGTATGTGAGTTAGACGACAACACAAATGAAAAAAAAATGTCAAATCCATATGGTTTTAAAATTAACATTTCATGAACTGCCCTTTAATAAATATACCGTGAGATTATTCGTCCATATAATTGATCAAACCTAATACATTTTCAGTATAAAATATCTCAGACATAAATTGTGTATTGTCCATCAAACTACTAAGTCTACTTCCAATGGTGATGGAACCGTACGGTGTAGTTCCAATAGTAACAAAATTTTCTACATATGTTTGTGTATGTATATATTTTTGTTACTATTAAAACCGCACCGCACTTTATCCGCAGTTGAACCGCGTGTCTCCATTCGGAGATTAATCGTGCAAGTTATAATGTATGACAAAAATTACCCATTTATTTCCTAGAACACACTACTTGCTGCGTCCACTCCATTACAAGCCATCAATCGTGCATGTAGTAACAAAAGAATAACCAATGCAAATTCACACGCTGCAAAACAAAACTTTATATATATTAGAATTGTTTAGGTATTTTCTTTAATTACTAAAAAAAAATGTATCCAACGGTAAACTTTGGAAATCGTGGTATCAAAAATAAGGGAGCCTAGAAAAAATGTGGTGGCCGTAGACAGAAATCCTATTTTTGTTTTTAAATATAGAAAATTTACATAATTTGGATGTATTACAATTCTTTTCTTGACTACAAAATTATTTCATATGATTTTATAAAATTAAAAAAATAAATTGAAAAAGGTGTAGTAGTAGCCACCTAGGCATTTAATTTAAAATTAACAAAAAAAAAGAAAAGAAAATAACAATAAATAAAAGAAAGTTCACTTTAAAAGATGCTCTTTCCCTCTTCTCAGTTCTCTCTCTGAGTCCCTAGAAGTAAGTAAACCACAGAGAGAAATATATACAAATTAAGACAGATACATACACTATTACATACATAGAGAGACATGGATTTGCATGAATCAGAATCAAGAACACATGTTTTGTCCAACGATGGTGATGATGGTTACATAGACTTAGAAGTCAATCTCTCTTCCTCTTCTTCTTCCTCCTCAAGCTTCTTCAGCTTCCCCGTCACTTCCTCGCCGCCGCAAAGCAGAGAGTTCGAGTTTCAAATGTGTTCCTCCGCCGTAGCTTCCGGTGAATCAACGACATCTCCGGCCGATGAGCTTTTCTACAAAGGTCAACTTCTTCCTCTTCATCTCCCTCCTCGTCTCAAAATGGTACAAAAGCTTCTTCTCGCTTCCTCCTCCACCGCCGCAACAGAAACTCCTATTTCCCCACGCGCCACCGTATCCTCGCCGCGGAGATTCAGTAGCAGTGAGATCGGACAAGACGAGCAATGTTTCTTTGAGATTTCAACAGAGCTCAAGAGATTCATTGAGAGCAGCGAGAATCATCTTGGAAACAGTTGGAGCAAAAAGATCAAACATTCATCGATTACACAAAAGCTTAAAGCCTCACGCGCTTACATAAAAGCTCTGTTCTCAAAACAAACCTGCTCAGATTCATCAGAGATCAATCTAAGATTCAAAATTGAACCTTGTAAAGTCTCAAGAAAGAAGAACCCTTTTATAAACAGTGAAAAACCTCAATTGTTTCATAGAAGATCCTTCTCTGGTGTGATACAGAGACATTCTCAAGCTAAGTGTTCAACATCTTCTTCTTCTTCTTCCTCTGCATCGTCGTTGTCTTCTTCGTTCAGTTTTGGATCAAACGGGTCTTTGGATCTGCAGACACTGATGAGAAGCAGCAACGCGAGTGATAACTCCATTGAAGGAGCGATTGAGCATTGTAAGCAGTCGTTTACTAGTAGGAAGAGCAATGTGACTGAATCTGAGCTCTGTTCTTCAAGAACCTCTGTTTCTACTTGTGGTGACCTTGAAAAAGATTGAAATTCTCAGATCTGTGAAGCGCTCTCTGATTCTCATTCCAAAAGGATACAAAAAAAAAAAAAAAAATCATAAAAAAGATAACTTTTCTCTTCTACTCTGATTTTTTTACTTTTGTATTTTAGATTATTTTGTGTGCTTTTGTTTAGAAGTTTGCTGAATTCGAGGTTTCTTTATGTGTTATAAATGTTAATGCTACCAAAATTACTAATTTCAAGGTTCTTGGGTTTAAACTTGTGTTTTGACCAGAGCACTACTTTCTTTTTCGTTTTGGATTTGGTTTAGTTTCAAACTTTCAATAAGTAACGAACGACCAATGTTCAAAATTTTGTTAGCTACCTAACGTTCCAAGAGTTAGATACAAAAATTACTGATTTGATTTAGATTTAGTAATCGGCTAAGTCAAAACGAAAAAAGAAAAGAGTAAATTAATCGGTTGTCTAGCTTCAAAAATTACTGACTTTTTGTTGACCGATATTTAAAATGGTAACAGCCAACCTAGTGGTAAATGGTAATTATGTCTAGTTTTTGTAACTTGACTCACCAAAATATTAGTACTAAACAAAAATATCAAAACATTCGATTTACCTTTAATCGTATTTTGACTTTCAACATTATTTTTGCGTTTTTATTAATCAGTAGATTTTGTTCCGTCAATATGCATTTATGACACATGACACAAGTTAAAGATTTTAGTAAACATCAAAATTTTGTACTGATTGAACCAATTTGAGTTAACTGGATCCAATTACAATTATTTAATTTTATCATACATATTCATTAGTCATTACCAGTTTTATTTTACATACTAATGGTAATCTCGTACTGTTCAATGGTATTAAACAGTAAACTCTTATGGCCTTCTGCATTTATGTAACTCATCAGCTAGAGCCTAGAGGAGATCACATGTCACTAGTTATTGGCATTTACTTCGATATTATTTTGTGTTTCTTTCATAAGCTATTATAATTAAGAATTTTTACTTTATACCAAAACTTATAGTATAGCTGTTTGTATAATAAATGTGGTTACTATATTCACTATTAGGATTCAAATATACTAGAATGCATGTTATTGACAAACAAAAAAAAAACATCAACAGAAATAATTAGTGAGTTTATTATAAATCAAGAAATACATATGATCAAAAATCAAAAATTTATCAATGAATTTATATCAAAAGAGATGGAAGTAGTAAATTAAAATAAGAGGATACAACTTAAATATAATATTTTTTCTTAGCATAAGTGGAATGACTTTGGGTTTCGGTTTTAATATTAAACCCATAACTTTAGCTTTAGTTCGATCTTTTGGTTATAATATGGAAAGCAGATTTCACTTGTGGAAACAAATGAACAAGCAATAGAATAATAGTGTCTCCAATATTCGAGTGAAATTGAAGGATGTTCGGAAATTAAACATTTATAGCGTTGGGCAACATCGTGTACAAACTCGAACTTCAACAGGAAAAGAGTTTACTATATATCGCTTATTTTTGGGGATTATTACAGATTTTGCCCTTTTTTATAATGGCATTTATGGATTTTGTCCTTTTTTGAATAATTTATGGATTGTGCCCTTTTTTAACACTTAGAAATATACGTATTTATGATTTTTTTGGCAAAAATACGTACATTATACCAAATACTAAACCCTAAGAACAACTGGAACCGACTAAACCCAAACATAACGAATGAAACGCATGTTAAATCATATTTTTGGAGCCTAAAAAAGGACAAAATCCATAAATTATTCAAAAAAAGGCAAAATCCATAAATGCCATTATAAAAAAGGGCAAAATCCGTAATTAATTCCTTATTTTTGTCTACATAAACTTTTTATGTGATACCAAGCAAACTTTTTAGAGAAATCTAACTAATGTGCCATTTATTGTTTAAAAATTTTGCAAAATTGCCACAAAACATAAATCTTTTCAAATGTGCCATAATGGTGGACAATATTTATTGTCTACCAAAATTTTTATATGTTGTTTCGAATTATATTCCACCAAAAGTCTGTTAGTTCAAAGGTGCACAAGATTTTTTGTCCACCAAATATCTTTCCAATCTGTTGTTTCAAAGGTAGACAACATTTCTTATCTACCAAAAATTTTTCAAAGTCTTGTCCACTGTTATGGCACATTTGGAAAGACAAATGTTGTGGTAATTTCTATAAGTTTTGCTACAGTATATGGCACATTAGATCAAAATCCCAATTTTTTATGTTATCATCAAATTTTACTATTTAAAAAGAAAAACTTACATTTGAGTTGGAGTTTTTTCTTGAGATAATTAGGTGTAAAGTAGAACTTTTTATCCAAATTAAATTTTTTACAAATCATTTTCAAGTCCAAACAACATAAATATTTCGCCCATGATTCTTCCAAAAATAACCTCACTCTCTTATCTCTTCAATTTCATATCCCTCTCTCTCTCTCAACTCCATAAATCTTATTTCTCTCTCTTTCTTCTTCCATTTTTTAACGTTGATAACTTTTTTTTGTTGATTCTTTTTCTTCATTTGTTTTTTTCGTCAAAAGTATATTTATATGAGATCCGGTGATAATCTTTGATGGATCAACAATGGCAATGTGGTTACAGTGGTATTATTGCGAAACTTTGTTGACAATCGGCGGGGATTCAACGACAGATCTGAAGTGGTGGTTCAACTACGGATCTAAAGTGGTGGTTTAACGGCGGTAACCCGATTATTATGGTGGGCTTTATATATCGGTATTTGGTTAAATTATTGTAACATAGATATTTATTCTATATATTAGATGTCTATATCAGTAATTTGGTTGTAATATATGTTTGTGTCGTGTATACAATTGTGTTTGTATGTGTAAAAATATTAATAACGCTCTATATATATTTATAGGTATACATATGTTAATAACGTTCTAAATATAACGAATATGTTGGGTTAATAACTCTTTATATATGTATATATATGTTAATAGAGTTCTATATAGTATTTACATCAATACAAATGTTAATAACACTCTATGTATCATGTAATATATGTATGTAATGATATGTTTACATCTATAAAAATGTTAATAACGCTATATTTACGTATTTATATGTTAATAATTGTTAATAACGTTTTATGTATATGTATTTACATGTACACATAAACCCAATGATTAATATTATAATTATCGATGTGTTTTCTATCTTATCTCTAATAATTTTATCTGGCAGCATTAAATGTTTATGCCTAAGAAGTCAATCACATTTAATATACTCCTCTCTAAGTCCACAAATCAACCCACGCGCATCCTATTGGTTTTTTTGTAATATAATCAAACTTTAAGTGCCATTATTAAATGTTTATTTGGTCATTCCTCAACACATAAAATGATTGTCTCTCACCTAATTATGTGTCCCATTTTTCACTCTCAGCTAAACGTCTCTTTTTTCTTTTAAGCCATAATTTTTTTTGAGTAGACCCAAAAGAAAAGGGACAAACTGAATAAAAGGGACTTTACAGGCATAGTGAGGATCCTCTCTATCCCTATCTCTCTCTAAGGTGACTTTTAATACAGTATGTTTTAAAAACTATAGGTTGTATATTACGTCAAGCCTAAAAAGAATTATAATATTTTCCCAACACATTTGTAATCATAGGGATACCATGCAAATACCTATAGGTCAATATGTTACCATATAATATATTTCTTTTATTTAATTTGTCTAGTAAGTAAAGAATGAAGAAGAAAAGCGAAATTAGGCCCATTTTTTGGGGTCCAACTTTACATTCATACATAAGTAACCCCACAAACAAAAAAAGGAATAACTCAAAGTGTCTTTTTATAAAAATATTTCAAATATAAAGATTTCAATGATTATAAGCTTCTTGGAGTTTATCACTACAAGAGATATGGTCCCATTATGATTTTTTTGATTTATTCAAAGCCATACATTAGATAGTATAAGATTTTGGATGAGAAATATAACCTGTTGAAATGTTTGAGCAGTGAATGAAGTACATAAATCGATCCCTAAATCTATATATTTGTTTATAAGATAACACTTTTTTTTTTTTTGGCATTTTGTTTTGTAGTCTACAGTGACAATAACAACATATCTATATTTTTGGTTTTTACATTAAACTTTATATATCACACACAGAGCATTCTATATACTTTTAGCAAAGGAAAACTCCTTTTAAAAAATGATATTGTACTATTTCGATTAGTTAAATAGATTAATATAAATCCGCGTGGAGAAAAAATCTCTGTTGAAAATCTTAAGAGTCCATGGGAAGCATGATGAGTGTCAGCTGCATGAAAGTGTGTAGCTTTCGTTTTCCATGCATCAAAGTTAAGCTTATAATATGTCATTGATTTTATTAATTTACATAAAAGTAACAATTAAAGTAGCTTGTAATTACTTAAAACATAAACTTAAATGGTTACTAAAGTGCGACCAATTATCAACAACAACCTCAAAACAATAGAAATACATAATTACATATACGTAGAAAAATAAATTCCCCACTTTTAATTACTGTTTTAATTATTTACTTAAGAGTTAAGACTAATTCTCTCTACCAGCTAAAAACTTTGTAGCATTTTGTGTTACCAATTGTACCCATTATTATAGTAAATCGTTTACCAAATACGAAAATCAATATATCATTAACTAGGACATAATTGCTAGCTTCGTATGAGAATTAGAGAGATAGAAATTCGGAATATTGTAAGTTCAATCACTCTATTCCAAGAATGATCAAGGTAACTTTCTTTCTACCGATGTTCGTTTGCTTAATTTGTAACTTTCTTTTCTTCGCTGTCCTTAAGTGTTAGAACATTTTCCAATCCTTGTACGTTTGCCACTGACGGGATATTGGCTCTTAGAATGTATTTTCCATTATCCTTTTTTATCTACTAGTCTAGTGGTTTTTAAACAGACTATGATTCAATCCATTCTAGTGGGTTTAAAACAACGTATGATCCAATCCACTATAGACCTCGAACTTTAGTCATGCTAGTTAGCTGACATTGACATATGAGCTTATTCAAAAGAAAAAAAGACATTGAAAAATGAGCATGCCAATAACCTCAAGTCGATGGGAGCAGTAGATTACTAGAGCCTTTTATTACTTTAGATCTATTAACAAACAAAATTTGATACAAATGAAAGTGGTGTTTATAACATTATTAGTTAAATTAACGTAATATTTAAATAAAAAGTTGATAAATGACATAAAATTT